AGAAAGCAGCGGGCACAGTCTAAAAAAACTGAAAGCTCCGGTACCGGGACCGGTACGGAACCGGTACCGTCTGAGCCCGCAGCTGCGGTTGCGGTATCAGACGCGGTTCCGTTGCGGGCTGGGCAAACAAACCCAATCAAAGCTCGGAATCGTGTGTATATACGTACATACACACCCCTGCGTGTGTAAGTGTGTGTATGTGTGCGTATTTGAGTGCATTCAGGGCAGTCTATCTCGAAGCTGGCTTTGTCCACAATCAGGGCCTGCAAGGTGGGTCGAAAACCACCTAACGGCCGACGTTGGTGGTGCTGGGCCCTTCACAATGATTGCACACACCGGCTGGGTGCGCACCTGGACAACAATTCTGTAGCTGCTGTAACAAGGTGTAAAAGGCAACCGAGGGGCCCTCCCCTGACCCGACAAAGCACAATCTATATATATATACACACAAACCCACACCATTCCAAACCTGGCGTGAAGTCCCACCATAGGGAAGGGCTGGCCCGAACTGATTTGGGTCCCACGAGAAGAGCTCTCGGACCCACTCGTCCCACTGCAGATAAGGGCTGGGGCCACCAAGCCACACCCAACCAAAATCCGGTCGCGGTAGCACAGGGCTTGTTCCGCAACTCTAAAGCCGAGCATATCCATGCATACAGGTTGGCCTCGCGTTTGCGCTGCTGTTGGCACTCAACAATAATTAAGAGAGTTCATGGAGACTCCCGTGCCGCTTGCATTGCCATCCTCAGTACAGCCACACCAGTTTGGGTTTGAAGCCTGACTTGGGCACTTCCCACTTGACGTACCGCAGGCTCACGCTGCGCAACCGTGACGACATAAACTTTTGCTACATGCTACTTCACAGTAAATTATGCGGACAAGCGGCCTGTCTGGACCTTTTTCCATCTTTCCTCAGTGCAAACGACTTGATGTCACCGCGCCTCAATGCCTTCGTACACCTCGAGGTCCGATTCTCTCGTGGTGCGGCATGCACAGCCCCTAGCTGCATGATGGGGAGTCTTGGCACGACCATCAAGAAGTCTAGCGTCCCGGTCTTTCGCCTCCACGCCCGCGATCTTGCTAAACTTGCAAACGCCGAACCTCAGGTGACCCGCTCGTATCAAAAAGACAGGCTGAGACTACACTGCTTCGAGTGTGATCCCACGCCTGCCCTCTCTCCAAACCCCACTAATCGGCTGTAGTGCTGAGACGTATAACTGTTGCCGACAGTCGGGGCGAGGCTCAGCAAGGGAATATATGATCGGAGGAGATAAAGCGAACATGGTCTCCATGCGAGCGCTGACCATGTTGACTGGAGGACACCCGAAAGCAGACACAGGCAGACAACGCAGCATTCCCCACTGCCTCGTCAAGATTTCTGCCATGGGATCTAAGCAACCAGCTGGACCAGACCATGGGCACAAGCTATACTGCATGGCTTGTTGTCTACTACCTTTATAGGCTTCTGCGTGTGGACCAAGGTAGTCCTCAAGTGTTAGTCCAGAGACTTCATTTGCTCCGCAGAGTGGGCGATCGGCTTCCACTCGCTAGCCATGACGTGCGGCAGCCGGGGAGCCGTGTAGACCTGCAGAGTTGACACTTAGCTTGCCTGACTGCCGACGCCGCTCTACATGCCCCTGAAAAACTATTTCTGACACCCTGTTGCGTGGTGGCATGTTTGGGGATGCTCTCGGGCAGGCTACGACCGCCAACATGGGAGGCATGACCACTGCATGGCACTCCGAAGAAGAGAAGCCTTCGCCATGGTCACGAGGGTGCATCTCTTGAGTCGTAGTCTGTTCCGTTCAGAACATTCCCTGCCTCGCGAAGACGGAAGACGAGCCACTCGCGGCCCTTCGCGGTCAGTTCGGCAACTGGGCCAGGCCACACGAGAAGCTTCGAGCTACAGGTAGCAGGACGCTTCAAACAACTTCTTCACATCTCGTGAGGTTTGTCTGCAGCCATGCTCCACCCAAAGTGCCTTCGAGGTTAATCGTTACTTGACTCATTCCGACCTTTCCACAGGTGGAGGCCGACAAGGCGGATACCTGAAGCCGACGTCCCGCATCTTGAAGCACCCTGTTCTGTGAGTCGACGGTTGGGCAAAAATTACAAGGGTGGTGTCTGCGCGTGAGCTTCAAGCTTCATGGCTCGAGCGGTTCAAGGGATTTTCAGCCTGGCGTTTGGGGCGACCCAGTCGGCTCCTACAACGACGCTCCGCCCCCTCTGGGGCCTGGAGTGGGCGGAGGCTCCTCGTCGGTGACCACGTCTGAAAGGAGGTGCGAAACACAGCGAACGACACGGGAATTCGCGACACATTAGCGGCGAATCTCAAGTGGCTGAGGAACGAAACGAGCCGGATGGTAGGATGCCCTACATAGATTTCTGCTTCATGATGCCACACTGGGACAAGGCACTTGAAGTTCACATGTGAGGGTGCTTCGGGCACATTAGCAGCATTAGCATCTCTCCCTTCCAGTCTTTCCGACCTATGTCTGAATCCAAAGGGCCTTCATGATCACCAGTGCGAGCCCGTTCGCTTGCAGCCCGCGGTGGAAGTTGCTCCCCTGAGCTCCCCTACATTACGAAGCAGAAGGCTGTGGTCGGGCCAGGCATTTGGAGCACGAGGGGCAGGCCCAAACCCCACGCAAGGAATAGAGTGCTCAAGAGGGCCTGGGAATCGCACAAGAAACTCCCCTGAGTCAGGAAACCCTTGCTGTCGTGTTGTCCTGGTGGCGATCGCTACCACGTCCTCCCACTATGCCCAAGAACTGTCAGACTGTGCAGAACTTCGAAATATGAGGTTCCTTGTCCACACCTGTCGCCACCACCTTAACATTGACATCCCTAGCTATATGCCAGGAAGCTTGATTCGACCTTCTGCTCCTCAGGCGGGAGTCTGTATGCTCTCACAACAACCAGGCGGCGAGAGAGAACATAATTGGCATGCTGAACCGCCAATCAGAATGCTAGAAACCATGCCTGCAGATACTTGCTGACGACTGGCTCTGCATGTTGTCTGGGCTAGCTTTGCCAATGCGGCCCAACCGTAAGTTACAGCTACTAGTGGAGGAAGATCACCCGTACGCCCTCTACAATCACTTGTTGGGTTGACAACAGCATCAGCAGCCGAACCCCATTATCCTAATTTAACAGAAACACGCTCTACTGCATGATCGCTGATCTGCGCTGAACCCGACATGGGAGCTAGCGTTCCTCCTTGGGCTGGCTATTCATGCGCTTCGGCAACTGAAGCATCTGCTCTTCGTGTATACCGAAAGCTCCATTCCCTTTAACCCAGACAGTCCATCAACCCACCGTCTCAGCACATGGGCCATGCAAATCAAGCTGGCGCCAAGGGGTCCACAACGCAGACCGCTTCATCGGTTGATCTTCGCTCTGCATGCTCAAAGCGGCCAAAGCGAAAGCGCACAGGTTCACAACAAGAACACGAAGACCACAACAAGTGGGCCAGACATAGGCTGCAGAAGAAAAACTTGAATGCCGCGGTCATTCCGAAAGTCATGTGCTTCGGAAGCATGCGCAACACTCCACCACCCTTACACGCCTTGGCCCCAGTGCAGTGCTGTATTTTGTGCTACAATGGGAGATTTCATCGGTCATCATCATTCACTAAACCAAGCACCACTTCAGCGGAATCAATAGTCAAAAAGCCGCGAAGGAGAGCAGTGACGAAACAGGTCAAGTCACTCTCGAAGGCGCAGAAGATTTCGACCTTCTCGGGGTGGCCTGTGTGCAAAACACCACTTAAGTCTGTGCTTACGTACAATTTTGTACCGTCACATGGGCGTGCGCATGTATACGATACACGTGTGTGTGTGTGTGGGTAGGTGTATACACCCATGCAATTTACTTATATATACACATATATATATAT